GCTGTGGTCCTAAAATCCAAGCATCAAGCTGCCACAGCAAGTGGTTTCATATGTGTTAGAATGTGAATGGATTCACGCACTGATTCCCCACATGACACATATAAAGGGCTGCCAGATTATATCACAACTAAAGTTTTCTTTATGGGGTCGGATCAGTTTCAAAATTAATGATGGCACATAGGGGGATTTACAAATTTATTCCTGATTTATATATAAATTAAGATACGTCTGTTTCCCGCCATAAAATGCATCAAAGTAAGATACATAAATACTGTATATCCCTCCTGTTACCTTCAAATGTACTAACAACTTTTATCCTTTGGGTCAATGTGGCCAGTTTAAACCTCCTGAAAATCAAGTTTGAATGTCTGTTGATTACCTAAATAGCGAAAATGAAAAATTACACACATATACATACAGAATACCTGACTATGGAGAAATGTGCACATTAACAAATTACTGTAAAATTACGAGAAATTCTCAACAGTAATATATTGTTATTCGTAAATACAGTTGGCGACTGGATACTTAATTAGCATGCTAAGTGCTAAGTGACGTTCTATTAAAGAATGGGAGGAGCGGCGTCCTCCTCTGCACCGTTGTGAGGAAAAGAGAGAGGAGGTGCAGAGCAAAGCTCTCATTCTGCCCGTCCATCTTCATTCCTACCCTCACCTATGATCCTGAGCTAAAATGGGTTTCCTCATTCCTTATGCTCACAAATTACTCGCGCCACAGGATTACATACAAAGTCCATGTTCAGACACAATGAAAGCGAAGGGAAGCAAATTTGCGATGGCTCGGCTCATTTGTTGGGTCAATCGCCAAAAAGCACCAAACGCGTGAACGGATCCGAGCCAACTAGTTATCAAAGTGGCTAACTTTAATGTGATTTGTTCTGTGTTGGAACCAAACACATAATGAAATGTACGTACTCTGATTTTGAGACTAAACATAATTTAAGAAAATAAAAAAACAGTTAGCCTCGTCATGTACCACTGGAAGCAGGTCATCCAGACGCAGTTCCGTGCAGCTCTTTGCGCCTACCGATGCTATTTTTCACCCAAATACAACAGCGTTTGGTGCCGACCTGAATAGTGTAGCTGTTATGTCTTCCATGGTTGACGGCGGAAAAAAAAAATCACCAGGCATTAACAGCTGGTCTGCCAGCAGTTGCTGCCGATGCTTAAGCTTGTGAGCCACGAACAAAGGGAAACATCACGCTATATACTTTTTTCCACCCTACAGGCGTAGTCGCACCTCATTGGTTGAACATGCTGGTAGCTTCCTCAAAAGGAGGTGTTGTTTTGTTCAACTTGGTACCTGGTACGGCCTCTGTTTTGATTTACTGAGGGGCCTCTTCTGAGACTCACCACATTCCTAGTGAGGTAATAAAGACTACTCGGAGCCTCTCTCTGCTATGATACAAATACACATTGTCATAAGGCTCGCTGCTCTTTAATATTGAATGTCTGTAATGAATTGATGCATTTCTACAGTACATAAACATTTTTGATAGTAAGTGATTCTAATATATTTATGCATTTCTACAGTATCAATACATTGTGAATGAAGTCATCAAAATGACTGACTGCAGGCACTGTCACCTTCAAAGACCAAAAGAAACACTGTGAATTCTTTGAATAGAGAAGTGAACATCAAAGAAGTCTCAAACTGCAGGTTACCATTATTTTTCTGTAACCGTTGTCTGATAGTAGGTTTGATGTGCCACTGCTGTCTTTTCAATCCTAACGAGCCATTTTACAAATAAAAACCCTTCAAACTTTAAGAAAATGCAAATTTGGAAAAGACATGGGAGCTGCAACAAAGTTTTGAAAATGAAATGAAAACCACACACATTTCTTTAAGATAGTAGAAATATATAGAAAGTCTCACTTCCAAAGCTGTCTATACCCAAAGTTTGACTACATAGATGAATGCATTCGTCAAGAAGGGAAATCCCAACAAGAAACTGCAAAATAATGATAGTGGCATTATAGCTCTGCCTGTTATCCCAAGCCATTTCTCCCAAAGAGGGGGAAAAAAATGTATGCTGTCAACAACATCAAATAAAATAGAGGGCTGAAAAACAATGTGAATACAGAAATCTCTGGCAAAGAGGATCATTAGTAAATTTAAGGAGAACAACAGATTATTTAAACATTTTGATTTATTCAAATAAAACCATTAGATCAACGAAATTGTCACTGACTGACCCCTTGATGTGAGGGGAATAAAACACTCAAACAACTGGTATGGACATTGTGTAATAAACAGATAAATGCAGACTTCATTTTTCAACTCTTAATAATAAATTAAGTTATGTAAGGTTTTCTTTTTTTCAGCCTACACATCTATTTTTTCTTTGCAAACTTTCTTTCTTATTTAGTTATTTGTAGGACATGCACGTGTGCTTGATTGTATTTTCTTGAGTTGCCATTGATCTTATGATGCTGCGCTGTATTGGAGTCCTGGGTTGATGTGATTGGTCCTTTGTGTTCCCTCCAGCAGAGGGCAGCAGCACTGCCGGCGTCCTGCTGATCTACTGCAGTCACACAGCAGAAGACGTTTCCCATGATGCAACAGCTAGGCATCAACATGCCTGCTGCTGTGATTATGGAGGAAAACTATGATAAATTACTGGAGCAGTGTGAAGCCCAGGAGCTGGAGGTAAGCCCCGAATCACCGCGTGTTCTGCAAACCACCCACGCTGTGTCCAGGTCTCTTGGAGGCTCGGTACTCGTGATACCGGCAGTTAGCGTTAGCTCATGACCAACTTTGGCTAACGTAATGGCTAAGAAGCTAACGCTAGTAGGTTTCCTCTAACGCGTACTAACTAATATTAGAGAGCAGACACCCACACGTCAAACCCTACGCCGTGAGTTAACTAGTGCACAAGTGTGATGAAATCCGCATTCAACGAGAACTGTTAGCGGTCCTCTCCACTGTAACGTCTGCAGTTAGCAGGTAATGTTAGCTCTTTAGCTAACCGTACATGACTATACGTGTCTCCGCTACGTCGAAGCTACTCACTACCACTGTAACGTTACTGCTTTATTTAACGTTAGGTTGTCATAACTTAGAAGTCGTGGCTTGTTTTCACGGTGTGGTGGCAGGTAGCTTGGAACTGACCGGTTTGGTCGTAATTTAGCTAAAAACACTAAGATGAGACGGCAATGCTACAACGTAGGGACTAAGGAAGGTAATCGCACGAGTGACTAGCGAACCCTCAACCGTCAGTGGAGTCTGAAGCTAACGTCTATTACAGTGTTCCTAGCAATGCACGTTATAGAATGTTTATTACAGTGTTCCTAGCGATGCACGTTATAGAATGTTTATTACAGTGTTCCTAGCAATGCACGTTATAGAATGTTTATTACAGTGTTCCTAGCGATGCACGTTATAGAATGTTTATTACAGTGTTCCTAGCAATGCACGTTATATAATGTTTATTACAGTGTTCCTAGCAATGCACGTTATAGAATGTTTATTACAGTGTTCCTAGCAATGCACGTTATAGAATGTTTATTACAGTGTTCCTAGCAATGCACGTAATAGAATGTTTATTACAGTGTTCCTAGCGATGCACGTTATAGAATGTTTATTACAGTGTTCCTAGCAATGCACGTTATAGAATGTTTATTACAGTGTTCCTAGCAATGCACGTTATAGAATGTTTATTACAGTGTTCCTAGCAATGCACGTTATAGAATGTTTATTACAGTGTTCCTAGCAATGCACGTTATAGAATGTTTATTACAGTGTTCCTAGCAATGCACGTTATAGAATGTTTATTACAGTGTTCCTAGCGATGCACGTTATAGAATGTTTATTACAGTGTTCCTAGCGATGCACGTTATAGAATGTTTATTACAGTGTTCCTAGCGATGCACGTTATAGAATGTTTATTACAGTGTTCCTAGCGATGCACGTTATAGAATGTTTATTACAGTGTTCCTAGCAATGCACGTTATATAATGTTTATTACAGTGTTCCTAGCAATGCACGTTATAGAATGTTTATTACAGTGTTCCTAGCAATGCACGTTATAGAATGTTTATTACAGTGTTCCTAGCAATGCACGTTATAGAATGTTTATTACAGTGTTCCTAGCAATGCACGTTATAGAATGTTTATTACAGTGTTCCTAGCGATGCACGTTATAGAATGTTTATTACAGTGTTCCTAGCAATGCACGTTATATAATGTTTATTACAGTGTTCCTAGCGATGCACGTTATAGAATGTTTATTACAGTGTTCTTAGCAATGCACACTATAGAACGCTTAGCGACAGCCCCGTTTGGATCTTGAATGCATCCCTGTCTTTATTGTTAACAGGCTCCAAGGGGGCATCGCAACACCTCAGGTGTACTCTCAGCTGCTGTCGCTCTATCTGCTTCACAATGACATGTGAGTCCACTCTGTCTGTCTGTCTTCAGTAGTCCACGGGGATTGTTCTCGCAAAGTCCTGTTTTGTAATTTTCTAGGGGTGCTAGATTTTTACTAATCTGGTTTCAATGTGTTGATACTTATTTGGTCTATTAGTTTTATTTTAGTTGGTAGCTGTAGTGTGTTACATCGTATACATCATATATAGCTATGCTTATTCTGTGTGTCCCCTAACTTGTTGGTGTGGCTCCAACAGGAATAACGGAAGGTATCTCTGGAAACGGATTCCCCAAGCAATAAAATCGGTGAGCGTGGTAAAACACACTGAAACATGGCGCAATTCCTGCTCAGAGGCTTACCTGCATCACCCAGCAGAGACACCACACAACCGAGTTACGAGTGTGACTCGATTAACTGTAACGTGACAAACATTGCCGTGGTCTTTTTAAATGTGTTCTTATTTGTTACATACAGGCAAACCCAGAATTAACATCTATTTGGGCCGTTGGCCAGCGCATTTGGCAGCGAGACTTTCCGGGGATCTACACAACCATTGCCGCCTTCCAATGGTCCGAGAATATCCTGCCAGTCATGGAGGCTCTTCGAGGTAACGTTATATTTTATTTTCATTTATTCCCTACTCTTCATATACAACCGAATATCTAAACATCTCTCACTTTACATCAAACATCCCCATACAAAGATATTTCCCCACGTGCTTGAAATTGTTTGGCCATCTATAGCATGTGACAGTTCCCTTCTGCAAGAGTTAAGAATAGCTTCCCCCTCATGGTGATGATACTCGTCGATCTGCTATGAATGCTGATGTAATGGCATAGGACATTTGCGTAACCATCGATGATAATTGCTTGGTGAGTGGGGGGAATTACGAGGGTTTGTTTACTGGCACACAATTTACACTTTTTTGATACAGCAACAAATCTTCCTGTAAATAAAGTATTCATATGATAAAGAAAGTAAACTATCAGTAGACTGTGGAACAATAACACTTAATATATCTAAACAACTGCTTTACACAAGTAACTGGTCCCGACAGCCTATTGGCCTTAAACTTTCAAATTGAAAGAAATAACACCAAGTGGGCATCTCAAGTAACGCTCAACGGGTGTCTTAGAATTTCTTAAATCCTGATGGTAAACAAATAAATAGTAATACTTCAGACAGCACTTTAACACCATTGGTCATTTTAAAGTAAGACAATAATGTCAATAGTACGTGCAAAACATCCATTTTCAGTGGCAAACAAAACCTTTTTTATTGATGCAATGTTGTGTCAAAGGGGTTGAAATGGGCAAAACAACAGTCACGGGTTGTTGACACCAAGTTGTTTACCTGTTGGATTGGGCCGGTCATGTGGACCCCGGTGGTCGTTGGGAGGGACACAGTGCTCACTGGGACCAGTGACACATGCAGCACTGAGAAGGAGGGGGACGTTTCTATGAAAAGATCCCCAGACAGCAGCAGGCAAGAATGTGCGCCTGGGTTGTTGGGAAGGGATCGGGTGTCACCAGCTGTGAGGGGCTGGTATAAAATCCAGAGCCTCCAGCTCCCAGTCAGAACCGATACCAGCAGATGCAGCACACAGGAGAGGCTCGCCCTTCCTTTTGGTAACAGCTTAGTTTTCGCTTGTGGGAATTAAGGAAACTTGCCGGCGTAAGCGTAGTTAGAGGCTTTTCCACCATGGACGTTCAGAGGACAGGGTCTGTGGTCCGGCCCCCGAGCCCCATGGATAGCCTAGAGAAGCAGCTGAGCTGCCCCATCTGCCTGGACATGTTCACCAAACCCGTGGTCATCCTGCCCTGCCAGCACAACCTGTGCCGAAGCTGTGCCAGCGACCTCTACGACTCCCGCAACCCGTACCGCTTCTCCGGCGGCGTCTTTCGCTGTCCCACCTGCCGCTTTGAGGTCGTGCTCGACCGCCACGGCGTGCATGGGCTCCAGCGGAACCTGCTGGTGGAAAACATTATCGACCTCTACAAGCAGCAGCAAGAAGGCAGCGGCGGCACAGAAAGCACCCTGAAGCCCAAAGAATCCAAGGAGCCGATGTGCCAGGAGCATGAGGATGAGAAGATCAACATCTACTGCTCGACGTGTCAGGTCCCCACGTGCTCCATGTGCAAAGTGTTTGGCCAGCACAAGGACTGCGAGGTGTCACCGCTGGCCAGCGTTTACCAGGTCCAGAAGGGCGAACTGAGCAACGCAATCGACACTCTGGTGGCCGGCAACGGCCGCCTGCAGGCCCTGCTCAACCAGATGGAAGACGCCTGCCGCGCCGTCCAGGACAACGCTCAGAGCGCCAAGCAGGGGCTGGCCGAGCGCTTTGACCTGCTCTACGCCGTGCTGGAAGAGCGCAAGACCGTTCTGCTCGAGCAGATCGGCAAGGAGCAGGATGAGAAGGTGGCGGCTCTGCGAGCGCTCGCCCAGCGCTACGGCGAGCGGCTGCAGACCAGTTCGGAGCTCACGGACACGGCCGTGAGGGCGCTGGAGCAGGGCGGCGCCGCTCAGTTCCTGTTGGCCTCCAAGGGCCTAATCATGCAGACCAAGGACGCGGCGAAAGGCTCGCTGGGGGAGGAGAGGCCCGAGCCGGGCTTCGAGAAGATGGACCACTTCACTTTGTCGACGGAGCACGTGGAGTCGGTCCTGGCAAAAATGGACTTCGGAACGTTTGATGATGATGAATTTGAGGACGCGGAGGAAGAGGAAGAGGAGGAGGAATAATGAAGTGTTAATGGACTTGGAAATGGAAATAATGTAATATGGGCGTCAAAGGTTTTCTTGTGTCTGGCACAGATTGCGTTTCATGTTGAAAGACATCTAAGGTTACCGTGGATGTCGGCTTTCAGTGCAATATAAATGTCAATGTGGTATTAATACCTTTTCTTAACTTCTTTTTTTTTTTTTTATACTTTTTTACTACTAAGCTGTTTGGATGGAGAAAATGACTTTGAATAGAACGTCTGAAGATTCATTACGTTATTTTCCTCATAAGTAGGTCAATGAAATATTGTTTGTTCTTCTCACTCGTCCAAGTTTGGGTTGAATTGGTGATCAGCTGATCTGCCTGTAGTCACCAAACCTGTCTCATGGAATGTGGAATAAAGCTGCATGAACTCAGCTCCCCTTTGCTTTATTGCTGAAGTCAACACACAAAGGAAGACCCAGTATCGTGTCTGTCCTATAGATTCTCCTTGGAGAGCTGCTTTCCAAAATGTTTCCCAGGCTGCTGCTTCTCTCACTTGGCAGTAGGCTGCATTTAAAAATAAAAGTCCTTGCCACGTCCTGTCTGCTTTGCCTTTGCTGGTGAAAAGTGGGGGGCTATTTTTAAAAGGGTGAGAAGTGATAGCAGCCCTGGAATAGACCCGAGGACGGGCCGGACAGGTCCTGTTTCTCCTCCATAATGCTCCCGTCCTCCCACTCATGGACGCCTTGCTCAGCAGCTCGTGCGAAGGCCGCACTAAGAAAGGCCGGTCCAGTTGCTGCGCGAGTCATCGCCCAATGGTCAAGAGGCCGCGGTAAAAATAAACGTGTGCGGGCCGGGTTTCCGAATGCCCCCCGTAGAGGACCCACTTGTCCTCGTGTGTTTTCAGCAGCCAGTCGCTTGCGCGGAAGTTGTTCCAACACCAGACGCACTTTTCTGATGTTTGATACGTGGCTCACAGTTTTGTTCTGAGAACATCACGTAGTAGGTCGTCATGACAAAACAACACAATGTCTCTGGAACCACATTTTTTACAATAGGCTATTTTTTATCTTGTGTTTAAAGAGACTGTAGATAATAATCTACAACCAGACCGACAATCTAAACAAAGTAGCATTAAACACACTTGATATACAGATACTTTTTTTTGACTGTGTAAGGTAAACGCAACAGCAAGCCGTTTACACAGCAGAATATGGGAAGTGCTTTCTGGCCTTCAGCGCCCAGCTGTCTTTTCTCATCCCGCTTGTTATTGTTACTGCTAACACACTGTTACAGTGTGTGGGTACACACATGCACACACACACACCGTTGCTAGGCTATAAAACACGAAAGGCCACATCCCTGAGACCTTTCCGTGATAGCTGCATTAGCAGAGAACATGCCGGGGGTCTGCGAGGCCCTGCTGCTCTCCACAAACCACATCACCATGTCAAGTGGGGCTGGATAAGTGTTCCTAAAGCTGAGCCCGCAGATGAAGGTGTCGATGCTTCATAGCACCGCACAGCAGGCTGCGTCGTTCACCATTCATCTTAAGCCTGCCATATTAGGGAAGAGAAATCCAGTGAAATTCAAAATGGTCTAATCCCAGGTTATATAACTATGAAAGCTCCAATTGACAAATGTCACGTCAAATGTTAACTCGTGACTTGCTTGGTGGTTCGTGAATCCTGCACAGAGAGCACGCGGCAGAGAGCGTACAGCTTGGTGGCCCAGGCCTACACCTCCATCGCAGCAGAAGACTTTGCTGCCTTCGTGGGGTACTCGGTGGAAGAGGCAGTGAAAGGTGGGTGGTTATTGTGTCAAAATATGAAAGCATCCATTTGCTGCTCCTATTTATGCTTTTCTTTGGTGCCGTCTTTGTGTGTAGGTGTGGTGACCCATGGCTGGCAGGCCGACCCCGCTACCAGGATGGTGATGCCCAAAAAGCCAGGTAGGGGGCAGCATTGCTCTTTTGATCCGTACCCGTCATGAGCACTCGGCTCTTTTGCCGCCCACCGTCCTGTTGAAGGGATTTAAGAGACAATTGAATCTCAATGAAAAGCAGCAATGACGTTTTTCCATTCCGACAACGTCTTGAAATGTTTGAGTGTTCCCTCATCCACTACGTTCGTTTTCACCTACTCCGCTTGATAATTCAAGCTTTTACTTTTTACTTCTCTACACGTCGTCAAGCTCTGCTAGTCATTTATCTTGCAAGATAAAGCGTCTGATTTGAGCGAACGGTCGAGGAGGTTGTGGCGTGTGTGCAATCATCGCACGGCGCCGCCAATCATCTGGCGCGCACATGCCCACCGCAACGCGCTTACCTCACACACCATTAACCCTCCTCACGTGTCTGCTGCGATTCACCGAGGAGTCCCCCTCTGACTGGACCTTTCCTCCTCTATCTCTCCCTCACCCACAGATCCTCCCCCCGTCTCACTGGTTCCAAACGAGCAGCAGTTGGCCAGACTCACCGACTACGTGGCTTTTCTCGAGAACTGATAACCCGCCGCCCCCTTTTTTTTCTTCTTTTTTTTTTCCGCTTGCCAGGGACAGGGGGAGAGTTCATGTTTGGATGGACTCTTGCTCCGGTCCTAGTCCCTGATAGACAAACCAAAAAACACACTCATCATCTCGCATGGAAGCCACTCGCTCTTCTCCAAGACCTGCCTATTTATGACTCTCCTGTCAATCCATATGTTGGAACACAATGTTGTATTATATCCTCTTTTCCTTCTCTCTGTAACCCACCTGCTGTACAGATTTGGGTCTTGACTTTGAAGGAGAAATGTGATTTTATTTTATTGCTCACCTAACGGACCCTTTCTAAAAAATAAACAATTTGGTATGTTTTAGCACTTGAAGAGTTGCAAAGGATTTTGTCAAGAAGTGGTCATGTCTCAGCCCTTTTTTTGAACCTTATGTTTTGACTGGTGAATAAATATTTTGCTCTTTCTAATTCATTCTTTCTTTCCAAATCTTTTACTTCTGTCTCGGGTTGGTCTTTACGGTGCAGACTGGGCTCAGGGATGTGGAACATTTCATTTGACTTGCAGTTCACCGCTGCAACAACCACCTCTCGTGAAAAAAAGCTTATTGGACTTTTATTCTGTCCATATGTGTTCCTCTAATACCAGTCATTACAAGTTATTGTTAACTATTACAATGAGTGTCTATGCCTTACTCTGTTGAATATCTGTTAGTTCTACAAAGTGGATTTTTTACTCCCAGTACTTATATGTTGTATCCCTAAATGAGCCACACTTGAAGTGACAGACATTTGACATGATTTGGTGCGAAACTACATCAGAGCCGTTCCTGCTGATGTTCGTACTGCAGAGGATCTTGTAGCTCATTGGCACTTTCACTGCTGAAGTGGATGCTACTTCCTGGTTCAGACTGACCTCACCTATGTATAGAAATGTGTGTGCATTTGCTGTGGAAACGTACCAACGTGCAGGCATGTGAGAAACCAGCGCTGGCCTCATGACAGCACGGCGTGCCAGTGAGTCAGAGCGTGAGACGGTGTCTCATTCTTCTGTGTCCCTCACCACGCTATTAAATCTGCATGCAGCCACACATGCAGCCACACACGCATGTGTGAATGGACGGCATGCCGGGCGCAGGCGTGAAGCTAAAAGTGGTTTGTGTTGACATGCATGAACTCAATGCATTTTCACGATTGTAATTATTGCAAACGTGCTGCCTTCTTGGGGTGATATGGCCAGTTAGCTCAGTTGGCTAATAATGCTGTTCAATCTCCATCTCATTGAGAGCTCATCATCAATCGAATATTTCCCTTCTCCAGATTATTATTCAAAAGGCTTTGGGTCGAAGTGTCTCTACTATTCTCCACTGTGATTTCAGATTTTTACAATTTGAAATGTGACGACTTCAGTATCCGATTTCCACAGTATTTTACGCATATGTTCGGTATACACCAAATGAAATGTATACGCCAAAATCTGTTGAATGTTGAATCTGTTGAAATCTGTGAATAGTAACAATTGGATTGTAGCTATCTGAGATGGGAGTGTTTTTACGAGCGTTCACTGAGGTGGTCAAACAACTCTACCGTGGCAAATCCCCGGGGATTACCGAGATCCACCCGGAGATGCTGAAAGCAAAGGTTGTTTGGGGGCTGTCTTGGATGACACGCCTCTTCAACATTGCGTGGAACTCTGGGACAGTGCTTTAAGAGTGGCGGGTGGTGGAACCTCTCTTCAAAAAGGGGGACCAGAGAGCGTGTGCCAATTACAGGGGGGTCACACTACTCAGCCTCTCTGGTAAAGTCTAGAAAGGAGGGTTTGGCCGATAGTCGAACCACGGATTGAAGAGGAACAATGTGATTTTCGTCCTGCTCTTTACTCCAGCAGGAATCATTGAGGGGGCCCGGGACTATGCTCATCTGGTCTACATGTGTTTTTTTTTTTTCTTGGAGAAGGTGTATAGCCAGGTCCCCAGCGAGATAATGTGGGAGGTGCTGCTGGAGTACGGGGTGAGGGGGTCCCTACTTGGGGCCATCCAATTCCTGTACGGCCAAAGCGAGAGCTGTGTTCGGTTGTAATTCAGAGTAGTTTCCGGTGGGATTGATCTTCACCAGGCTACGCCTTGTCATTACCCCTGTTTGTGGTATTCATGGACAGGATATCAAGGTGTAGTCGTGGGCGTAGGGCGTCGTTGCATTTTGCAGATGATGTTTCAAGCACAACCTGCTTCCTATTTTGCACAGTTGTACAGTTTGTGGCTTTTCTTTCTTTTAGCTCATACAGGGAGACTGCTTGTGGCATGGTGACTAGCCACTGGTGACTTTTGGTGGAAGAGGGAGGCCAGAACCAAACTATTGGGTCCTTATCATGAACAAATATATGAATGCATCACATGAATTGAAGCGTTGGTCTTGGCTGCAATAAGCACTAATCCGTTTTAAAATACTCCAAACATGGCAGTTCAAAAGCTGCACAATTAAAGAGTATGAATCCTAAATATCTCCTATTCTTGCCAGTTTTGAAGAAAATTATCGAATTATTCCTCTGTTTCTGCAGTGCAATACGGCCTCCCGCCATCTTGCATGACATTGCTACATTGGAATGGCGTTTTGGGGGTCGATTTTGTGCTGGCAATCGTCACTCTCAAGCATTATTTTACGCTCGCAATCCACATTTTTACTGTCCCGTTCGTCTGCCATGAGGCCTACACAAAAGCCTTCCATAGAGTAGTTCATCCTCAGTCTATCAACGTGAAACTTTACAGTTCTGTCCAAACACTGTATCTACACTATCATGTAGATGTGTAGCCTGATATCTCTTCACAGGAGTTTTTGGAGACCATTTACAAAATTGGATTTCTTTTTGGAAACATTGCTATATTTCTTTACCAGTAACATATAAACTGTTTTTTACACAAAAAAAGAGGCCTGTCAGCAGCCTAGC